AGAATTTAAAATCACTTCAGTCTCACAGAGAATCAACATGAAAAACCATAGCAGCGGATACTATGAACATCTAAATAAAGCTTGGAACTAGTTTCCCATCTATTTATTTTCCAGCAAAGGAACAGTTCCTCAAACAAAAAAATACCCTTTAATGTGTAAATGTATAATGAACCACATTTCATGTTCAACAACAATTTATGAACTTTTTTCAAACGGATCAAACATGCAGCAGTATGTATAAAGCAACTGATGAGAACATCTAAATCAAACTCATACCAGCATATTCATGAAGATGGGGTGTACATGTAACAAAATGTAGCTTAATTAGCAGGAAAATGAGCTGCAATTCCATTCTGAAGATCTTTCACCGACAAATTGAAGTGTGTTTGTTTGGAGTTAGCAGCAGCAGCATATACGCTGAAGCACAGTAAGAGAGAAGCTACTACGAAAAAGACTAAAATATAAGCAAACCGACAGTGGTAACCAAATTAATAGGAAATAAGATGGCAAGAGAATGGTTTAGGAAGGAGAAGACAAGCATGCTTCCTGTTTTCATAATTAATGACTGGGAAATGACAGTTTTATTGTTCTTGAGAATAACTGAGCAGCTAAAAAATCACCACAGTAGAATCCCAGCGACTAGATACAGAATAACTTCTCTGTAAGATGGTTGGTGGGGTTGGAGTTCTGTTAGTGTAGTTTCATCGTATTAATATAAATATTTTTACAATATTTTAACACAGTGTCATTTTTTTAGTATATTAACAAATAAATAATGAATTAATAAAAGAATAATATATGTATTGTATAAAAATGTTGTAAAAAAATTTATATAGAAATATTTTTTTTCTTGATTTTAAGAGAGAGAAGAGACAAAGTACTGAATCACATAAACGTTTACTTAGGAGAGACTCTCGAATTAACTATATTAACTGTTTGAATTAGATGTTTATTCTGTGAAAGAATTTGAGATTGGTTAAATATATTTTTCATTTTTAAATTATTATACAAGATTGCATTTTACTTTTAATTAAATTATAAAATATTTTATTTTATGAAAATTATATAAAATCTCCTTTCCAATAAACAGTATGTGTAGTGTGTATAAAACATCTTTACGGACAAAAGATAAATTATATTATAATTCACTGTACAAATATTGTGTCTATCTTGAAAAAAATATTTTTATAAATTTTTCTTGTAATGATTTAAGAACGAAAAATATATTTAATTTTTAAATAAAGCATTAACTGACTTTCTTTCTAATTATTTTTCACCCAAAGGAATTTTGCTTTTGGTTTAATTTATATAACTTACATAGCTACTCTGGGGGTTGGAAAGCAAAAAAACCTCATTCATTTCTTTACATAAAAATTATTGTACAAAAAGTTTTTTTTTTCAAAAAAAAATATAGTTTAAAGATCAATGGAAGCAGATTTCTTGATAACTGTCTATTTTGTTTATGAATCGTTTGATTTAAATTTCATTTGTAACACTTCAACTTGTTTTAGATGTTAAAGTCATTTGTTGATGCAATTATAGTGATAACACCAACATCTGTTGGTGGAAGTGAAGAACTTGACTTTTCAAGAATAAAATCTTAAGTAATATATATATATATATATATATATATATATATATATATATATATATATATATATATTAGCTTTCTGGAAGATCTGTTTGACTCAATTTAGTCAAGATTTATGTCTTTAAAATACCCAACAGTTTTATTGCGTGGAGTTATGAGGTTAGACAGGAATTTAATTTAAAATTATTTTAAATTTGTATACTAAAAGTATTATTCATTTGATTTGATAATATTAAAGCTAAGTAGGTGGTGTGATTGCTAATCAAGTTCTCTCGCATTAATGATATTCACAAAATTAAAAGATGTTTCCTATCAATAATACAGTTTTAAAAACTAATATAAAAAACATTTTTCATTAAACGATTTAATAAACTATCTGATTTATTTAGACCTCTTTATAATCAAGTATCCAATTATAAGGTTACATGTTAATAAACAAGAGAACCATGGGTATTTCATATACTTTCAATCTAACTTAATAAAAAATAAGTTGTTAAAATAAAATATTTGAAGGGATTATAGTTAGTGATATCCTATTTAACTTGGAAAGTATTTTTCTAGTTAATAGGGAAAATTGTCTTCTGGTCAATAAAAGAACATATTTTTATAATGCTATAAATAAATATTTGAAATAAATCAAGAAAATGAAATATTTTAAGTATATGGAATTGAATATTCACTTTCTTCACTTCTTAACTTTTTTTTTTTGTTAGTATTTTTCAAATCGATTAGTTGTATCAGTTAAAAACAGTTTAAATCAGTTTGATATTTGATTAAATTATAAATTAATGATGTTATAAAAATCTTAATAATCATATAGTAAATTTCTTCATAAAATTTTGATTAGAATATATTTAATAATAGTTTAATTCTATTAAACATGATTATTAATTTAATTATCCCAGTTCGAACGATTAATTTAATGTAATTTAGGTAATATATACCGATTGATACAAATAATTATAGCAAATAAAACATAATTATTTCTTCTCATCGACAAATACAAAATATTTTAAGGTTGTAAATGATCATTATGTTTTACCAATCAAAAATTTATACAAGAGATGCCAACATTCATAAATGTAAAAACTTCATATTGTTGTAGGAAATTTTAAAAGTTTACTAACATACATTCGATATAAATTTCCATTTTTTTTATTTATTTTATTCTTGTATTCATAAAATTAAATTTCTCATTCCATTAATGAATATCATGTAAGAAAAATAAAAGTACAAATAAAAAAAATAGTTTTCCATGCTTCAATAATCAATTGCCAAGTTACTTTAAAATAATAGAAATATGAAAAACATTATATATATATATATATATATATATATATATATATATATATATATATACTGATTTGGTAGTTGCTTTGAAATGCGTTCCAAGATTTAATATCTACCCTTCAGTCACCTTCTACCATCTATCACAACTACCCAAAAATAAAATACTAATAAATGATCACTTGTGTCGGTGAAGTTACCCCAACTTTAAATGCTCTCTTTTACAACATTTTTAATGTTAGAAGACACGTAAAAACGATAATATTTTAATAATTTTTTTTAACAATTTTTTATAATATATCACTGTTTTATTATTGTTTTATATATTTTATAGAATTAATCACAAGTTATTACATAAATAAATGGTTGTTAAAAAATTTTCCAAAAAAAATTGTTAAAAATTTTCTTTTCTAAAAAGAAACTGCGTGTCTAAATTATTTCTTCATGTCTTTCATGTTTAATAGGTTTATGTTTAATACCAATAAATAGTTGCAATAACATGGCATAGGGGGTTTAGGAAAAATAGTCACGTTTGTAGGAAAATAATAAAACTTATCTTTTAATCATATTACTCCTTTGATTGACCTTTATTTTAGGTTAATTATTTTAACATTTTCAAATACTTGATGACCTTTGAGTTAATGTCGGTTATAATCATTTACTAAGTTACTAATAAACTTAGCCGGTTACCAAATATACTTATCAGTATCAATCATACCAAATATATTAATTTTAATGCTAATTAATTTCATAATAAAGTATATTTATTTATAATAATTTTAATTAAATTAATATATTCATTTCAAAACTTATAAATAAATGTTTTGATGTGAAGAGGTACATTATGTGTATTTATTTATATATTAACGGTTAATTATCAAATATTAAATTAATTTTGAGATCGAATCTTATCTTAATCTAGACAAATAATTTAATACAACATTTAACATTTAGATCATAAACAAAACATAATAATTCTAATAAATGACCTCGATCCGATATTCAAATAAATTAGATTAAATATAAAATAAAAACACATAAATATTTACTTAATACAATATATCACTTAACAGAACATATTATACATAAATGGCGAAATTTCAGTAATATAACACGTATAAAAGTGTTAAAAATTAAACAATATAACTTGTTTGGAGTAGGATTAAAAATCTGTATCCGCATTTATGTGTTAATAATTATTTTGGGATTTTATTTGCACAGGTCTAATCCTTAGTTTGAAGATAACATGTGCAAAAGAATAAATAACCTTGTATTATTGACTTTAATTGTGTGAATGATTAAATAAAATACGTGATTTATGATTAGAGATCGATAATTGGTAGTTGCCATTCATATAATTTGGTGCTATGCAAAGTCCCAAGGAGGAAATCAGGGAAATCGTGGCCGTGTGATCATTTCACGAAGACGATAACGCAAAGGTGGCAAGCAGAGAATTAAAGCCATGAAGTCCACTGCATCAGTTTCATATAATGAACATCGTTTTTCGCACGTTGGAAGAGAGTCTAGAATGTATTAGTAACATCTCACATCACATATACCCTAATTCTCAAACCTCCACTTTCACTACGGGCGCGTTGCGTTCACTCCCCTACACCCAACATTTTATTTTCCTTGCAATTAATACTATTTAATTATCAAGGATTAATGTTCTTAAATAATTGCCAAATAATTAAAAAGAAAAAGTAACGAGTATGCATATTAGTGATTTAATTGATTGGGTGGTGGGTGAGTAATATGAAAAAGAAAATAGTTGTCTAAAACATAATCGTAAATGTCATTGAATGTGTCTTTAATTTCTTTGGTCAAATCCCAATTGAAATTTTAATTAGGTGGGAGAAAAACAAGTTGACCTTAAGTACGATGGTGACGCTGACTAATGAAGGAGATTTAGAAATTAAGCGTGAAGAGCATTTTGTTGCTGCATTTGTACGCACGCGCCAAAATTGAGAGAGCTGGATCCAGCTAAAGGGTGTTGTTAGAACGTTACCATCTCTCTCATCTAACCCCACCTTCTCCAACTTCTAATCACTGTTTAATCCTTATTTATCACTAAACAACCTCTTAATAACCCATTAAACATTAAATCCCTCTCTCCCACTCTCACTTCTCATAGTGCAATACCACCACCTTCTCAGACTTCGCGTTTCTCTCTCTAGTCAACAAACCCAAAAGAAAAAGGAAAAAAAAAGCCATCTTTTTTTTCCTCATTCTCTTCTTAAAACATCTTTCTCTTTTCATTTCACCGACAACAACGTTAGTTAAACCAAAAACACTAACACCATCGCCATGACAGACAGGGTGTATCCTTCGGCAAAGCCTGCCGCAGCCGCCGCCAACCCCGCTTTCCCGGCGACCAAGGCACAACTCTACGGCGCCACCCGCCCCACCTACCGCCCGCAGCCTCACCACCGGAGGCGGAGCAAGCGCGGGTGCTGCTGCACCTTCTGCTTCTGGCTGATCCTCACCGTGCTTGTCTTACTCCTCCTGATCGGCATCGCTGGCACCGTGTTCTACCTGCTCTACCGCCCCCACCGCCCTACCTTCACCGTGACGTCGCTGAAACTTTCGTACCTGAACCTCACCTCCTCCTCCACCCTTAACTCCCGGTTCGACGTCACAGTATCCGCCACCAATCCCAACAAGAAGATCCTTTTCGCCTACGACCCCACCTCCATCTCCATCCTCTCCGGCGACGTCGACGTCGGCGATGGCATCGTCCCTGCCTTCCTGCACGGCAAGAAGAACACCACGCTCATCAAAACCTCCATTGTGAGCACCGGCAGCGCGCTCCAGAGCGACGACGCGTCGCGATTGAAGTCCAGCATGAAGAACAAGAACGGGTTGCCACTGGAGGTGAATTTGGAAACGAAAGTGAAGGCCAAAATGGGAAAATTGAAAACCCCAAAGGTCGGAATCAGAGTCTCCTGCGACGGAATCAGAGTGAATCTTCCCTCCGGCAAGAAACCGGCGACGGCGTCCACTTCGAACGCGAAGTGCAACGTGGATGTTAGGTTCAAGATCTGGAAGTGGACGATTTGATCTGCATGTACACAAAACACAACAACAGAGGTGTGTACTGTGTTAATTGTCTTGATCGTTTTTTCTTTCTTTTTCTCTTTGGTTTTAATTTTATTTTGGTATATTTTTGGAAAATTTGTTCATATTCATAAATTACTTGAATGCGTGTAAATGGCAACGGCGTTTCAGTCGGTGACTGACAGTTGTTAGCATGTTGAATGTATACCACTACCACTATTTTTTTGCTACACAGGTTTCCATTTTTCTATCATTTTAACTCGTTCCATATTTATTATTTATTATTTATTATTTATAATACGGAACCGGTTGCAATTATTATTCTTGTATGGGTTTGGCGATGTAAAATATTTGTAGGATAATCGCATTTAATCTGGCTAATCATTAGTGGAAAAGATCAGCATGAGTGTCCACACCTTTTGGTTCTTTTGCTTTTTAAATTTATTTATTTTGAAATTGCATGGCTTGCACCACCGACAGAGACAATAATAATTTTAATTGTGAAGAGTGTGACCTAAAATAAAATGATTCAAAATGAGTAAACTAGGTAGGAAAAACAGGTCTAAGTATTGACAGAAAAGGACTAAATAACCACATTTTTACTAGTTTTTAGTGTAAACTATTTTGATTGGTTGAAATAATTATTTCTTAGAATTTGGAGTGTAGTGTAGCAGAAGAAGCATTAAGGCGTAGTTTGTTTGGTTGTTGTGGTGGTTAGAGGGATGTGTAATGTTCCAATTAAGTTAAGTTGTGATAAAGCTTATCTCTTTCAAAAGCAGCAACCAATGGTGGCAGTGACCACTTCGTTAAATTCTGCAACTTTTTTCTTCTATTTACTATTTGCTCTTCTCTTCAATTATTGTGCTTTGCTTCCTTTTCCTACGTAGGAACCACCTTCGCCTTCAGGTGCCCTTTTCCTGCAAATTTTACAAATGTCATCTAAATAATAGTCACGGAATTCTTTACATATCTTCAAGTAGAAATTAAGGGTTTGATTAAGAAAAATATGAGTGGAAATAAATTAAATATAATAACATGGTGTTTTGAAATACCTAAAAGTCTCTAATTATGATATATCAACTTGAGGTTCGATGTTTTTAAAATTAATTATCTTTATATAGTGACTTTGACAGAATAATTTTAAAATTAATTAATTATATTTTAAATGGTGACTTATTTATAGTCCACAAAAGTTAACTTTGTATGAGAATGGATTTATTTTTAATTTATCAAGATAATACTATTATGGTGGGGTTGAATTTATATTGTGAAAATTAAACCAAACCCTTTTAGTATAACGAGAGCTTGATGAAGATTAAGACCGTGTTCCTATCTATTTATTATGAAATCGCATTGTTTAGTTTAAAAAATGCAAGTAACATAAAATTTAAATCAGAATTGATTTTCTGAGACAAAGACATCTAGTTCTAAATTATGTGAACAAGTGTTTAATTTGTATGTATGAAAAATTATTGATGTTCTAAATTTTTAATTATTATTGGTGGCTTTAAATTCCTGTGAAAAAAAAAAACTCCAGTAAATGAAAAAAACTTTGCATTTTCAGTGATTTTGACATGTAAAACCAATTCCAGTTAAATCTCAAACACAACATTTCATTTCCATGCATTTCTTTGCTTACATGGATAAATATTTAAGCATGAGAACCACATTTAAAAAAATTGTTTGATAATTGTTTTCGCAACGTTATTAATATAATTGAAATTCTCAACTGTAAAACTTTTTGAAATGAAACTTATGAGTTGCTATTGTTGGATAAAAAGAACTATTTTAATGGAATTATTTTTTTACAATTTAATCGAACCCAATTCGATTTACAAAACTCAAGAACCCAATTCCTAGGAGTTTCAAAGAAAAGAAAGAAAGAGTCCATTGAAAGGAAACTGTTATCACTATAGGAACAAAGTAAAAAAGCGTCAAAACAAAAAGTGAAATAAGAAAAAGTAAAGAGAAAAGAAAGCCAACGACAAATTATTGTTGAGAGTTCATATAAGTTGACAGTGAATGTTCATTATTCCTAGTTTGAAACGAAGACTTTGTAATACTATAGAGGAGAAAATATCCTAGTAAAGTTGGAAGGACGAAGGCACCAGTAAAAACTTAATCGGATTAGGATTGACCTTTTCGCAGAGAATTCAAATATTAATATGTTCATTGTGCTCATAAAAAACTTAATTGATTACTATTTAGAGAACCGAAAAAAACCAAACAATCTTGAAGTAAATGAGTTATTGAAGCTCACAAATGGCAGAAACAAGGGCGTAGTGTTAGCCTCATAGGAGTTGTGGATGAGCATTGTGAGTATAGATTAAAAGTAGAAGAATGGATATAAATAGGAGAAGAAAAATTGACAACACCAGAGCGTTTTCTAGTGGAGAGTTTACAATAATAAGATCAAGGGCATAAAAAGAATGCATTTGAAAAATAATTACACATGATCCATTGCCCTCAATCAATAATCCAAGGAATGGTTTCAGTATGATTGTGAAAGCAAGTGCATTCTGAGTAGAAGAGCGACACATCGTGTTTGATAGCATTAAGGAGAGAGATTTAATCTCATGGTTTGGTAAGAAGCCAGACATATTTCGTTTCGGCTGGTCGCAACGATTTTGGTCGGAATGTCAGAAAGCTTAGGATTGAACCGATGTAATCATTACTCGTGCATGGTTGATCTCCTTGGTCGTGCTGGACTTTTGAAAAGGTAACTGATATTGTTGGAAAACATGTCTATTGAACCTAACGAATACGTTTGGTAGCTCTTTGAAACTCGTAGAATGTACAGACAAGAACAATTTCTAACCTAAAGGAAAAAAAACAAAAGAGCTTCATGATGCAGATGGAAGATAGGATGACTCTGGAAGAGTAAGGGTGTCGGCAAGGACAAAAGTTCTTAAAATACCAAGCCACATTTTAGCTGGGAGGTCTGGATGAAGTTTATGCTAAAATTAACTATCATTATCATACAAAAGATTGCTAAATTAACCAAATCGACGAAGTATACAGAACTAAAGGAACCACATACTACAATTGCTGGGCTCAAGGAAATGCCCGTGTCTGTAATCAGGTAAAGGCCAAAAATTGCTCATTCTCTCTATGTACAAGAGGCCAACATCAAAACAGTCTCGAAAAGGTAAAAGGATTTTCCTCTTCCTGAAACATTCGCTTAACAAGTATAATTAAAGAAAGATGATGAAGCACTAAACGACATCTCTGAATCATGCTTCATGAAAGCACCACCTCCAACAAGTCAGAATTCAAACTCTCCTGTCGCCTGCAGATGTATGACAATTCGATAGATTACATTGGAAAAATAGAAAATAACATTACATGTTCTCCTTCAACAGTGACAAACCTTGTTGAAGAGAATGTCCTTATTATTTATGTGCATGATGCCATCCTTTAGTGTGCATTTCCACCTGCTCTTGGTACGTGTCACCTAAATTTTGAGCAAGATAGACCCCATTTTAGAGAATAATTTATCCAACCCTGAACCACACTACCTACAAATCCAGTCCAGAGTGTAGGGAAGTTGTTACCTTATCAAACTGGGCCAAAACAAGATGATGTGTATTTTGGTCATCTCCTTGTTCCATGTCATCCAATTCGTCATCATCTTCTTCATTTAGTGGAGGCTCATCGTCGTCATCATCCTCATCATTTCCCACCTCATTCTGAGCCAAGAGAGCAGGGGTGCTAACTGGCACTTCTAATAATTAATAAAGGAAAAAGAATCAGCAGATGTGACGTATTAAAATATATATAATGATAAGCCATAAAAATTTTCCACATTGTTGACTTACCAGGAGGAGCTGGTGTATTAGAAATATTGTAGTCATCACTGAACACTTCGTAGTTGTACATCTGCCAAAGGATGAAACAAACCAAGATGATGGAACGCGAGACGTGGAGTAGGGAAGTGCCAAATGAAGCATAATGCAATTTAAACACTAAAAAAATAGTAACTGCAGAGTTAGGTAGAATTTTCTAGTCCCCGTTTGCTCTCCTCTGGCTATACATTAGTCCATCCAATTATTTGAGGTTTTCAAGTTCCATAAGTAGCATGAAGTTAGCAACTAAAAATCAATCCCCGTAACTAATAAGCAACTAATTCATGTTCCAAATTACAAACATGTTAGTATATTACAAAATTCATCTTGAATTTAAAATCAACCCCTTCAATATAGTTCCTTGGATTTACTATTCTGTCCAATTTTGAATAAGGAAGATGTAGCTCATTAACAGACACTCATGTAAATGGCAGAACTTGAAACTGTGTTGTTTCGCACTACTCAGTAATTACGGAAATAGTTTTGCACCAATAGAATAATTCAAATAATTAATAAGAGCTCATCAAATATAAATAAAGTGCCTATTGAAACCTTAACATCGAATGTGGTTATTAATTGCAAAAATAAAAAGCCCGGGTATCTATCTACCAAGAACTAAGAGAGATGGTATGTCTTTTTCACAAAATTATAAGGGACAACAAAAGATTAGAACAAGTAAACAAAGTAAATGCAATTCTTGGTGTGGAGGGAAAAAAACAAAAGTGTTTATTTAAATGATATCATGAATGTAGGAATGAGAGGGGACAAATATCACTACTCACATTTGGAGTACCAATCTCATCATCGTAAGGAGCTGGTCCATCAAGTTGAGGAATTCTAGTAGTCAACCTCTCAACATCCGCTTGCATTTTCCCTTTGGAAATAGTCTGATGTGAATTAATGGAGATATCCCCTCCATTTACCTAATTGATAGATATCCAAGAGTTCAGTAACTGAACAATTTTTCCATCAACCAAACAAGTAAATGAAATTAACTGACAGATAATTCACTTCCTTGTGTGTGTTTAAAAACCAACAGAACAATATATATTCAGTACAAGAGTGGAATAGGCAAGAAGCTAGGAATTTTAAATTCTCAATAAAGCTATCTGATGAAAATGTCTATTCTGTGGATCATTGTGACAGTCAACAATTATTACTTTCATATTGAGATTTGAGATGGCAGTAAAACAAGTCTGAAAAATAAAAAATTTGAGGACAATTTTTATGAGACTCTTAAAGTTGGTAAATACTACAATATTATATAGCAGCTCCCAGGTGGACAGATAGTAATAAATTCCACTCGACCTAGAATATCAAACAATTGCACGGAAATCATAACCCACGTTCTTGAAGAGTTGAATAATTTGGTTTCAGAATAAAAAGCCCCAAAAATTATAAAACTGTTGACCAAAATAAGGTATTAAATTTCCAAGAAAAATACTATCTCATGAAGAGTTTTAATGCGAGAGAGAAACTACCTGAATCATTATGCTATCTTTAGAAACTACTACAAAGGAAAATTTCTTTCTACAAGCCAGAGTGATACAGGACGCAAGAAAATCAATTATAACTACAATTGAAGATCCTAACAGAAAAATACTTTATAGACTAGACTGACCATACTCGAGTGCTTGTACAATAGTTCAATGCACAAGAAAGAGGTAGAAGCAGGAACTAAATAGAGAAAAGGGCAACAAAAATAACAATGAGAAAGATTGCTTAAAAATAAACAGCAGGAAAAACCAGCAAGGAGAAACATTATCATTGTGAAAAATCAATCCTTAGGTAGAAATAAACTGAACAAAAAAGGAATGTCATTCTAAGGATTTTATTTTGGGGTAAAACTTTGGGAGTTGGGCTTCATAGTTTTGATGTAATTTGAATCATTATTCATTTGTTTTCATGGAAAGCTGTCAGAAATTTGTTTGACAGATGCAACGTAGGTAGCTAAAGCAAGGGTTGCCCTCTCCATCAGTAATCACTCAGTTGCCAACTATTGGCAACCCCCATTCCGGAAAAGAAGGGGAAAGGAAAGTACCTCAAAACAGGGGTGGCAAGATGTACTTTTACCATCCCCCATGTCCCATCTTGTCTCAACCTGTTAGGTTTCTAGATAGAGGATACCAGGAAAACCACTGCAACCACCTATACTCACTGAATAGATTTTGTATTATTGATTCTAGGCAACAAGTACAGCCGGAATGCATCCAAGGGATAATGTTCCCTTCACACAGGATGCCAATGATCCTGTCAACAATTCTCCAAACTTTCAAAAAACGTCCCTGCATACAAAGACCCCCAAACTATATATAGGAAGTCTCACTCAACCTAACAACTACTTCTCTATATGTTTCCTCCTAACATACAAATTACATATCCTATCACAACCCCTCCCCCTAAAGAAGGGAACAAGAAAGAGAAGTGTGAAAACCAACAAACTAATTATAAAGCAGTATATCCTCGCTCCCATTCAGTAAAAAATATAGTTTACAATGAAACCAAAAGTAATAAAGACAGTAACTTAAACCATTAACATCACTAAACACAGCTTACAAACTGCATACAATATCCTGCTGATATAAATGATGCCAATCGATACAGAAACAAGTACCTCAATTTCAAAAACTCCCAGTGCAGCATCCCCAGCTCCATCTTGTTGAGGTATATATCCACCCGCATTATATTGAGAAGTCAAATCATTGCGCTTACGCTTCCCTGACGACATTGTAAAGAAGTCCTACAATTTTTTAAAGCATGAGTAAAATGACATTCCAGACAAAAATACCTACAACGTGTTTTGCAACAATAGTAACACAAATAGCTGGCTCTATAAAATAACCCGACCATGATGAGGTCTCTTTGAATTTTGACATCAGAGAAAGCATTCTTCTATCAGTCCTAACTGACTTGCTTACCTGTGTCAGAGGTTGATTAGAAGTTCCTCTGTCTGCCTCATCCCGCCCTTCCACATAAGCTACAGTAATACAAACCATTATTACTGCAAAACCATTAGATTAAACACTTTATCCTGAATATAAAAGACACTCACCAACATTGACATCAAGTGAAGGCCTCGGGTTCATCCAAGGAGAAGGAGGTTGCTGTAGAAGTTTACAAAGACAACATTAATGTACACCTTAAAAAAAGTCCATGCCAATGATTTAAACAGAATAGTTAAGCCACTGAATAATAGCTATGGATTAAAAGAATAGCATAAATTGATAATGGCATTTGAGAAACTTAAACAAAGTTATAAATAACACTATAGCAGTGAAGGGCAACCCAGGGCAAATAAAAAGTCAAAATGGTAGTTCATTTTCAAATAATGGCTACAATTGCGTCCAAAAAGAAGCATGGTTTTAAATACCTATTCTTCACTCAACAGAATAACTTTTGGTGTTTTTAAAGGGGCAAAGTTGACATACCCCCCTTACGAATTTAAAAAACTCCTATTTTTATGTTGTTTCCCACATAGTACCACCATATTAAGTTACACTGCATCACACCCACTAGCCACTACTGCGGAGCCTGTTGTAGAGAAGTTAATTATAGTGGCTGTAGCAGCACACATTCTGTGGTGATATCACAATATCTCTGCCAGTATTCTCCTCATGATGGAACGGTGTCATTTGGTATCATTTGATGTTTTACCGGGAGAATATCAGAATTCCACCTCCATTTTCATTTAATCTTATCAGAAACCCAATTTCCACCTACCGTGAGTGTTTAATCTCATTAACTAGAGACATGGCTCATGTAGTCCTTATTAAACTTGGGCAATCATCAGCTTGCAAGTCATTTTCGTTGGGTAAACTTAAGCCCTATGCCAAAATTTTAAGATTGTATTATAACTTATCATTGATTCATCATTAGGACACCCATCATTGATTCAACCCTAAACAACTCTATTGCTCTGTTTGGTAGAAATGAAAGAAGTTGAGAGCGGAAGAGGAAGATGTTGCAAACAAATGAAAAGAAGAGTTGTTTTGTTGGAAAGAAATAGGAGGAAAAAATATTGTTTTGATTCATTATTAATAATTTATTATTATTATTATTATTTAATTGCTCATTATTATTAAAACTATTAAAATCAAATAAAATAAAACAAAAAATAAATAAAAATAGCCCCGTAATTGATTACAAGCCTCCTAGAATTGATTATGGGGATGTTTTCAACTCTAAAAAATGTTAAAAACCCAACATAATTGATTATGTTACACTTATAATAAATTATATTGGACTTTCCTCCCTTTTCTTCTCATTTTTCAGCAGCAAGACAAGCCACCACTCATTGCATCAATTATTGCACTCTCATCTCCTTTCTTCTCAACCAAACCAGTTCCCTCCCTCCTTACTCTTTCCTTACTCCTTCCTTTCTCTCTCTCCCTCTTTCTATCATAACAAGTGAACCTTTAATGCCCACTCCTACACATGACAGGGTGTTATTGGGCTACAGCAGTTGTCTACACTCAAAATGTCCAGTTTTGGGGCGTGATGGGAACTGTTTAGATCCCATATCAACAAGAGAGATATGGCCAATGTAAGACTTAGGTAGTTTCTTAACTTACAAGTCCAGCCAGTTTTGTGGGACAAGCCCATATTATAAGTTCGGAAACTAAAACATCTCTCCAAGATGACGCCCACCTTTCTTCATCAAGATTGTTGACATTACAAAGCATTTTTCAGCTACTTACCTGAAAGGTCGTTTATGTTCCAGTCAACTCCTGTATCATACAACATTGTCTATCCTTTCTTCTTTCACCACTACCAATTTTTGTAATGTATCTTTTATTTAATGTTCATGAGCTCCCTAGTCTTTAGTTCTTCTAAGATCTACCTTCTAATTTTTTATTATTCTAACTGGGCATTGTTGTCTTCCCATTGATCAACAGTAATGATTTCACTCATATGTCCCCCATGAATATTCTTTAATTTTAGTTTTTTATTAAAAGAAAAGGTTAACGCGAGTTTTTGTAGCATAATTTATGTAATATCTATAAACTTCAAAACAGCAGCTATAGCACTTTCAAGGCCAGCCACTTCCCACTGCAATTTATGATTGACTACTATGATTTCCCAAACTTCTACCGTCTATCACCCATACTGTTTGACTAAACCAACCTCTCTCTGTTGGTATTTCTGGTGACACCCGCCACTCATTTCTGTACTCTGAACCGTCTACCCATTTCTGTACTCTGAACCGTCTACCCATTTCTGTACTCTGAATCCTCTACCCATGTTATTTTCTGTGTAACATTCACCCATGTTTCTTATTATGACTTGTATTTGAACTATGATGTATTTTAAACCGTTTTATTTCCTTGACTTCAGTTGTTACTTACTGAGTTTGCTTAAAACATATGATTTCTAATTGTTGATTAAAAATATGCCATAAATTTTGATTAATTTTTAAATACTTAACCATTTATAGGTATATAGTATAATAAATAAATTATTCAATTTGATTATTAGAATGGTGGCCATGCACTAAGATGCTATAGTGTTTTTAGGTGTGTGTCATTGTTTGAGATATATATAACTGGGAGGAAATGAAAAAAATTAATTTGACAATGTATATTGAAAACACTTTTATGATATATCATGAGACCAGCCAGCAAAATGAGCTTTACCATATATGTAGCAGGTCTTCCTCCTTTTACATCAGCATTTCCTCCTGTATCATTTCCAGAAGAGGGGTAGTCACTTGGTCCAGTGGGAATGTTATAGGTTGAGTTATCCCCAGTTCCAGGTAAAGGGGTTTGTATCGGAGTTTGCAAGGGAGTCTGCACGTTAAGAAGTGCATATCAACTATCCAATAATTTTAACTCATAACAGAACATTAAAAGGAGACATCACTACTTGAAGTCATAACTATGGATCAAAACTCACAGGAGGAAAAAGCATTTCAGCAGTAGGAGTCTCATACTCCTCGGTGTACGGCACGTTAAGATCATGAACCGGAGTAACACCGGGAGTTGGCTTAGCTGCAGTTGACCTTTCTATGGGACCCAGCACAGCCCCCGCCTGCATCATCTTTGACTCCCACATCTACACAAATTACAAACAAAAGAAGAAGGATGAACATCTTTAACACCGCCAATAAAAGTAATATTAAAAGAAAAAGACCATAAAAAACAATCGATCCGATCCAAACCCTAAATGAAGGAACCAGTCCAGAAAGAATAAAAAATTCTTCCTGACTAAATCAAAATCAATACACGTTCAAAATAGGTGTATAAACATCAAATAATCAGATTTATTTATTCATATATAGAGATTGAAAGTAAATCGTGGACATATGAAAATAAAAGAGGTGGAGATGATAATTTAATTACAGCTTGAAGCTCCTTGAGAACTTCCTCCCCAGGCCCTCCGTTGTTGACGAACTCGTCACGAACCTTGACCATGACATCCTCAATTACATCGATGTAAACCTGGCTGGTGGCGGAAGCTGCCATGACGAATGTTAGTTTGAGTAGAATCCCAGAGTGTCTCCTATAATTCTCCTTTGAGAAGCGATTTGAAGGAAAGTTCAGTGGAGGAGATGGAGAGGAACCATGGAAAATTGTAGGCTAGGGTTTGTGATGAAGGTGAAGAGTGAGAGCTGAGTGGAATGGCGAGGAGAGAGAAGTGGCGGACGAGAAGGGGAGAATAAAGAGAAGAATATAAATAGGTTCGCATCCGATTTTAAACACCGTGACACGTGTCAGTATTTCCTTCTTCTTTATCTTTCCATTCCATTTCTCAGACCACCTTCTATGTTTCTTAAGACCAACTGCACATACTCACCTTTTAATTTTTAATTCTTACCATTGCTACTATTGCAGATTATTTTTTTAAATATATTTATCTATTATGTTAACCTAATTTAATAAAATTTCTTATCAAATTTGAGAAAGAAAAATAATTCTGTAAAAGAAGTCATTTGTATATGTAACTATAGATTAAAAATATCAAAATATAAAATGTGTACAACACAGTTTTTTATATTAAATTACAGTGATGAATAAAGAAACTAAAGTTGAAAATGTTTATATTTTTATTCATATCTATCTTAAAAATATCTATATCTATATATATATATATATATATATATATATATATATATATTATTCTAATAGTGTACGTAATTTTTAACGAGAAATATATATTATTCTAATAAATATTGTGGAAAAGAGAATAACATACATATTCTTGTGTTTATATATGAAAAATGATGACTTCTTCCTAAAATAAATATAATTATGAAAAATTCAGAAAATAAATATAATTATGAAAAAATAATTAAATTTTTAATAATAATGCATATAAAGCAAATTATATAAAGCAAATTAAACATAAATTGTATAAAGCAAATTAAACATGTTAAAAAAATACAATATAATTTAAAATAAATTATATATTAAAACAAACATTAAACATTTGAAAGTTAAAATTTTAATATAATTTAACCTTAGTTAAAATTTAGATATTAATAAAATTCTATATATACTCCTGGTCTTATGGTCTGTTTGTTTCAGCAAATTTGACCGTAAATGGAATTTAAGAAGATGGAAATACAGGATTTTTTTTGTTCGCTCGAAAAAAAAATGAAAGTGATGCTGCCGATGAAAAAACGGAATTGTTTACCTCTCTCATCTCGATTTGAAGAGATTTGGTGTAATTTTATTATATTACCCTATGCTTTAATAATAATAATTATTATTATTATTATTAATTATTATTATAATAATAATAAATAGTAATAATAATAATAAATAGTAATAATAATAATACAAATTTTTATGTTAAAAATTAATTTTTATTTTTTTCTTTTCTTATAATAATTTTTAGAATTATATATAATATTAATAATTATAATTTTATATTATTTTTATATTAAAAATATTTTAATAATCTTTATTTTTTATCAATTAAAATCTTCAATTTTTACTAATTATAACATTAATCATTATCATTTTATATTACTTTAATAATTATGGGTATTTTGGTAATCTTTCGTTTCTATCCATTAAACAAAATTTTTTTATTTATCACATCAATCAAATCCTACACTAATTCTCATAAACTTTATTTCTAAATTCACTCTCAATTACCTCCAAATCCACTCAAACAAACAACAAAAAATTCACCCTCAAATCCTCCCAAATCCATCCACTCACTCTCCGCCAAATCCTCTCCTCCAAGTGAACACGCCCTTAGTGTTCCTCTCATGCCATACTAGGTTGTGATTTATTGTATTCATCCTATGGATTTGGGGTTTCAGTTTTGTTGGTATTATTTTGGGGATTGATGTGCTTCTTATCAGTTCCTCCTTGATCAAATTTGTGCAGGGTTATGGTGAATTATGTGATGTTTGCTTCATGAATGTGGTTCATCATCAAATATGTGTTGAAACAATAAAATTTGTTGTTGGTGGTGAAACAATGTATCTCAATCGAGTGCTCTTTTCTTTAATTCTTCATCTTTACATCCAAAACAAACAATGTATGTGAAAACTTTAGCACAAGATTTTGTAAAGCTTTAGGTTTTTGTCACCTTACATTTTCTTATGTGAATTTGAATCTATAACTACATTAACTTTTTATCATGTCTCTAACTTTAAAAGGATCACCAAAATAAAGTATCAGGGGTGACGTTGGGATGAGACACAGTTGGATTCATAAGAAAAAATATTTCTTCAATAAATTTGTACCAGGTAACCTATAATTTCATTATTGTGTTGATAGAAAATTGAAGCTTATAATGTATGATCTGTAACACAATTTGTTACTATTTCAATAACTTCCTATGTTATGTGTCCTTCTGCAGTCATTATAGATTTTTGAAAATACAACTTGTTGATGGATGTGTTTGTTGATCTCTAACAACTTCTGCAAAATATTTCTTTGAAAAAGTTGTATGATATGTGAAACAATTTAGGACTTTTGACGAATAAATTGCACACCATCTTCATACTCCTTCATTTCGCCATTTGCAAATATGACTGTCAAGTATGAATTTGATAGGTTTTATGTGTCGCTAAACATATGCGTGGCAAAATTATCCATTTAGTGATGGGTTTATGCTTGAGTTAACTTAAGTAAAATAAGTGTATCAAAAAATGTGGTGAATGGATGAAAGTTATGTATGTGTAAGTTTTTATAATGCACCAAATAAAGTACTTGATGTGACATGAATAATAATAGTTTGAATAATTATAAAAAATGTACATTTATTACAACAAAAGTACATTGTTATTTATCAAACAAGTATTTTATAATGCTATTTGTTATCCATGTCTTTCGATGTCACAAGTTTTTTGTGTTATTTGTCTTTAAGGTTGTGTTTGTTGTTCTTATTTGTGAGATTCATTGTCTTCATCACTTTCTTCAGTTTCAATCGATTGATTTGGATGTTTTGACGGTTGGTGAGACATTATAAAATGATAAAAATACTGTAATGAAGAACCTACATGGAATGCGGATGGTGGATCACCGTGAAAGTGACAAACATATGTGATGGACTTGCACTGAAGGTTAATGTTGGTGAAAATTTGTCATAAGAGGTAAGAACTTGATGGTAGATGAGTCAGGTGGGACATTTTACTCCCAATGTCCATATCCAAACATTTGATGTAGATATTGAAAGTAATGAAAGGAAGACCTATGAGGGTCATGGTAAGGTTGTGGGTGAGGAGGTTGTTGTGGTGTATTTAGAAAAAAACAATTTACTTTATTTCTTTTAAAATAATAATAGCACGAATTAAGAAAAAAAAATTGTGAACTCATCATCAGACGATTTTTTTTAAAGGTGAAATATACTGAATAATATGACTTATGTACCATTGCATTGCACACATTATATTTATAGTCTCGACACCATAAATTAGGCTTATCAAGTCCAATTTCATCCCTACTAAATGAAGTTGGTCTACTACTTGAATCTATAACGAAATAGATCAATCAATTTTGGATAAACTCAAAAATATTTTTTCGGCCACAGTATAGAAGGACATGTCGATTTCATCAATAATTCTTACATCTTTGTATTGTTCATTGTTTCTTAATGCATATACATCACAGATTATTTAATTAATTGGAATTTTCGTCAATTACAAGATATCATCTGTATAATAAGAATCAAACTCTTCTGGTAATCAACTGCAAAGAGGTGTAATCGATTGCACTTTTGTGTTTCATAAAAAACAATTTCATGGTAAACAATTAGGGAACTTATAATCGATTCCAGTTTTGAGTAACACGAATAGAGTTCACTGGTTGGATGTCTTTTTATCTAAAGAAAACAAATTAAAAATTGTCCTGCATCCTCAATTATATCGTGATAAAATTGTTGAGAGACATGATGACTTTCACTTTTCATATTAAACAAAAGAGTGACATGTACAAACGGCAAGACTTTGTAATTTTTTAAATTTTACCATTTTCATAATATATGTTTCGGATTTGCATAGGAAAAAAAACTAAAAATATGGCATCCATTCACGTGATTCAAAGTGATAGAAAAAGGCGATTGGTTATATATGCAAGGCTATGTGATTATTCACATGCATGCACGGAGAACTCAACGCAACACTTCCTTTTTCTTCAACAGTCACAGGAAAAGCGCTTTCAATCACTCACTTTCTTCTCCATTAATTCCTCCACCACTCCATGCAACAATGCATCATTCATTCATTTCCATTCTCCATGGCAACCAACCAACTCAAAGAACCACCCAAAAGGCTCCAATACCCACTCGACTCTTCCTCCTACAAGCTCCTCAACGAGATCGGCGCCGGCGTCAGTGCCGTCGTCTACAAAGCCATCTGTATCCCCATGAACTCCGCCGCGGTCGCAATCAAATCCATAGACCTCGACCGTTCCCGCCCCGACTTGGACGACGTTCGTCGCGAGGCCAAAACTCTGTCCCTCCTTTCACACCCTAACATCCTCAAAGCACACTGCTCTTTCACCGTCGACCGCCGCCTCTGGGTGGTCATGCCCTTCATGGCCGCAGGATCTCTCCAATCCATCATCTCTCACTCCCACCCCAACGGCTTAACCGAGCCCTGCATCGCGGTGGTTCTTAGAGACACCCTCAATGCCCTCTCCTACCTCCACGGCCAGGGCCACCTCCACCGTGACATAAAAGCCGGGAATATCCTCGTTGACACAAACGGACAGGTAAAGCTCGCGGATTTCGGCGTGTCGGCTTCCATCTACGAGTCCTCCACGTGTTCCTCTCTCAAGTTCACCGATGTTGCAGGCACGCCGTATTGGATGGCTCCGGAGGTGATTCACTCGCATACAGGATACAGTTTCAAGGCTGATATATGGTCCTTTGGGATAACCGCTTTGGAGCTCGCGCATGGAAGGCCTCCTCTCTCCCATCTTCCACCTTCAAAGTCCATGATGCTCAAGATCACCAAGCGGTTTCGGTTCTCCGATTTGGATAAATATAGAAAGGGGAATGGGAATAAGTTCTCCAAGGCGTTCAAGGACATGGTGGCTTCTTGTCTGGACCAAGATCCTTCCAAAAGACCCACTGCTGATAAGTTGCTGAAACACCCCTTCTTTAAAAACTGCAAAGGAACTGATTTTCTGGTCAAGAACGTGCTTTTAGGGTTACCCAGTGTGGAGAAAAGGTACAAGGAGAGCAAGGTTAACGAACATGCAGATGGGGGAGGCCACGATGATGATGATGATGATGATGATGAAGACCCCGCCATGCTGGTGAAGGAGAGAAGGATTAGTGGATGGAACTTCAACCAAGACGGGTTGGAGCTTGATCCTGTGTTTCCAAACGATGATGCGGGGGCTAAAAAGGCTGAGCTTGGAGGGGAAAGTGTTATCAGAAAAATGGAGGAGCTTGTCAATGTTGGTGGAAATGAAGCAGGAAGTGGTGGTGGTGGTGTGAAGAAGAGGGAGAAGATGTTGACGACTTTGAATATTCTGAAAGGGAGCTTGGAACAAGAGCTGTTGGAAGTGAAGTTTCTTGTGAATACAATAAGAGGAGAGGAGGAGAGTGATCGTGATCAAGTGGCTGCTGCTGCTTCTGCTGATCATAGTGAGGAGAAGGAGATTTCTAGGCTCAGGGCTGCACTGGAAAATGAGAGGAAGAAGAACTTGCAGCTGGAGTTGCAGCTCCACAACTGCAAGATTCAACTTTCTTCTCTCAATATTTCCAACTAAAAGCTCTCAAACACTTGCATTCTCCATGCTTATATGTAAACTTATGTTACCTGAAACAGCTTTAAATTTCATTTTTCTTAATCAATCACCTTGTTTCTTACATGAATAAAAAAATATATCAAGTGATAACCATTTTTACTATATTATGTTAAGAAAATAAAAAAAAAATGTATGGTTATATTTTCTGTGGTGTGAAAATATCATCACTCTATACTAATATTTTTGTATTTAAGATTAGACTTCAATATTAAGATAAAAATTATTATTAATAATTGAAAACATGTTATTATGACAAAGTTGTAAACGTAATATCTTAAAATTTAAGTCAAAATAAATCAAAGTCAATGGTTTCAACCCCATCAAATGGATTTCCATAACTACATTAATATATTAAGAAATGAAGTGTAACTAATAAATAGATAGATTTAAAAGCTTATCGAGTAAGTTGAAATTTACAGATCATACTTTACTTATATTCGTTCACTAAAATCTTCCTTAAATTGCTTCAATTAAAATCTTCTTTAAACATACCTGTGATAATATATACTGGGCTTTTCTTTCGTTGTTCAATATTTTTCTTGAGAAAAGGAAAATAATTATTCTCTATTCTTTAATGCCAAAATTACTTTGAACAGAAAAAGGGAAGACTCACTACTTTTATATATTCTGAATTCAAACATCCATTCATTGGAAATCTTCTCTAACTTCACATAAACTCATCACTCAGCTATATTGTTTAAAGAAATAACAGCATGAACTCCGTTTGGTGTTGTTTTGCTCATTACTTCTCCAACTTTGAATGAACCAGACAGTAGTTCAAAACAAGTGAGACATAATTTCATAATAATAAAACTACATGATAAAGAAATATGAGTGGTGATAAAGTGCCACATCGTTTTATCACGAGTCTCCGTTCATCGTCTAACCTTTACACGCCGCCACCAACACCCTTAACCTTAACAACGACAAAAACAACCTTAACTCCCATGAAAACAACGCTAGCAGCAGCAGCCCTAACGCCGCCACGCCGCCCTGGTGTCATGGACCGCTTCCCCTTCCTCCAAATTCAGCAGTACCTTCTCGTAACATTGGTCAGTGTTTCTCCTTGACCGGGGCCACGACCTCACCCACCATTCCCCTTCGGATTTGAATCGGCTCCGGTTCAGAACGACTCCGATTCCTCTCTGATTACGAACCCAAACGACTGCTGACAAATTACAATTAGGGTATGTAATAATTAACATTTAAAGATTAATGATAGAATCACCATGTGTAGCAGGTGGCAGCGGCAACATTCTCTTGGCTGCAAGACACATGTTATGAAGTATAGTTCATTCACATCAAGAAGTGATTATGGTGATTGGAAGGACTTTTGAATGACCCAAGAAAGTTTCTTGTTGAAAGAAAGAAAGAAAAATATACCTGTAAGAGGAAATGGATTAAGAAGAATCTAAAATAAATAACAGTTACACGAATACATAACACCTAGACTTGCATCAACCAAATCATTGGATTCTTGAGACCAAGAAAGAACGCACTGATCATACCCGCAGCCATCAGGGATCTTGATATTGGCTGATGTCATCCAGCGGCGATAGCCACGGAGAGAACGGTACTAAGCTGTCAATGTCCGACACGTTCATATCTTCTTGCAATGCATTGTAATTAAAGCACGAATCTTTTGGCTGTTCTTGTTGTTGAATTTGTGAGGGATCATTTCCAAGATCTTGTGGGTGAAGTTGTGACGGATCTTTTGATTCTTGAAGTGACATTCCTTGATGATAAGGGTCGTGGGAGGAGGAAGGTGGTGGTGGTGGTGGTTGTGGTGTGGCGATGGAATCAAGAGCTTGCGCTCTGAAGAAGGCAAGGTGTTGAAGGAGAAATTGGAGTTCAGATTCTGCAGAAGCGATGACAGATTGCAAGTATAGAATGGTTCTTAAGCAGCCCCCAACAGGGTCTTTGGCTCTCATATCTGACTCAAAGATAATGGCGTCGATGGCTGAGTTTCTGTTAACATGGTCAAGAGGCTTGATCATGCTGGTGATTTTGCCAACTCCGAAAAGCTTGTGAGCATTAAGGAACTGTTTTTGGCGATAATGAGGAAAGAAAGGTGCGAGAATGCAGTTGGGTCCGCACTTCCTGCGTTGGAACTTACAAGCAGCACAAGCCGTTATGGTGCTCCTTGAGGAACTCGTGCCACCTTCCATGGTATCTGCAAATTTTAAGCCGAAATGAGAGCCTTTAATTTCTCACTACTTATTCTTTATATATCTCATTTATCTCAACAGATTCTGTTATGCCAAATGATATTTTTAGATCATCAAGTAATACCAAATCAATCTTCTTTTCATAAGTCTTTTTTTTTTTCGTAATAGTTGTTCGTTACTTACTCATTAGTGATTAGTAATTTAATTATACTCTAATGGTGTGTGGTTTTTTTTATGTGAAATGTTCAAAATTCAGTTTTATACCTTTTAAAAGATTACCTATTTTAAGTCCCTTTATCTTTAAAATCTATTAAATTTGATTAAATAGTATTTTATAAAGGAAAGACAATGTTTAGATAGCATTTGAAAGATTAAAGTAGTGTTTTTTTTTTAAATCAAAGTGAAAAAAATGTAACTTTTCTTTTAAAGAAACTAATATTTTATGTGTTACAATTAGTATGTTGTAAACTACACATACATAAATGTTGTTTAATGTGACTGTCTACATATAAGATTCACTTGAATTTAATATGCTATGGTTTACAAAATTAATTGAATCAAATTGATAGTTGGTTACATTAAAAAAACTGAATTATTTTGAAAATAAAAACTGAAACTGGGCTGTTTTTTAGTTTAATTTCTAAAAAGTGTAATATTCCTAACTAAAATATTTAAATTGGAATGTAGGTTACAAAATTAAAATATATGTTTAAATATATCTATATATATAAGGATAATTTAAATTTTGAGATAATTTGGTTATGGTTCAATTCAGTTTATGTAGATATTAGACAGTTTAATTCAGTTCACCTAAACAAATTATACTGTGTTAGTTTAATTCTTCAACCATTTATGTAATTTACTCATCCCAATAATATCCAGTTCAATTTCCTCCTATTGGTGTTTCAATCCCTTTTTAAATCATGAATAGACAGATATGTTTGTTTTTGTTTCTTATAATAATATTAAAAAAAATGCTCTTTTGAAATAGGTATGAGTTATGATAGATATGATTAAATGAGAGAAAGCTTAAATACAGAATAATAATACATATATTAATTATGTATACAGGTTTGGTTAACCCATTAATATTCTACTTAATATATTTTTGTTTTGGTGTGAAAAAAAATCTCAACAGGTATTTGTGTATAAAAAATTAATGGTTATTTTTACATAAGATTTATAATAAATAAAAAAATAATATTAGAATTAAATTTTACAATAATTAGATTTTTGTAGCTATATAAATTACGTTTTAGATTTATGATGAATATTTTACATAAAGTCAATTTTAACTTTTAATAATGTCTATCATAACAAAATAACTATTGATAGGTTTAGAAAAATATGTTCTAAATGTAATTATTAATTGAATGTGGTAAGTGGGACGAAAATTTATTATTTATTAAATTAAAAAAACTACTAATATTGTTCTAAACTATAAAAAAGAAACAAAGTTGGGTGAGAGAAAGAACAAATAGAAACTAACTTAATGGTTAAAAATATTTTTCTTTTAAAAAAGTGTAAAGAAAATTTTGTTGATGTTATTGTTTAATTTTAATGAAATTTGATGTTAACAATCATAACAACTAGAAATTATAATAGTAAAAACCATTATTCATTTATACCTATATATATATATATATATATAAGGAATTATTTTTTGTTTGTCTATGTGAAACCTTAATAATTAGTATAAATTAATTCTGACACCTCACCATTAATGCACGCCACATCACTTCTCAGCCATTAAAACCCACTTCCAAATCTAATAAACCCCTCTGCTTTGCACTGAAACCAAGCTACAATCATTCTCTGCAATATTAAAAACGCACCAAGCCACACATGCACGCACGCCACGTGTCGTGGGAGAAGTTTCTGAAATCAGAGTTTGGTGTGCAGGTGTCAACTTGGGACACGTTCGTTCAAACGAGCGTGAGATTTACAAAACCAGATTTTTGAAAACTCTTTCTCTCACCTGCACCACTCATCTCTTTTCTCTGAACTCAAACCCTTCATCTTCTCCAACTTCTCTCTGAAACCAGTCACCTTCTCTCTACTGTAAAACTCACATCTATTCTCCGATCACGTTTGCAGCACCGTAGGAGTGTTCGTCCTGCTGTGATCTTCCTTTTGGACCGAACAAAATTGGAATCTAAGCTGGTGAGTCCCCTTTCCGTAGTTCGTCCTTAGGTTTCTGGAAAAATAGGGTTTTTAGTTTCATGCAAGCTTGTATTCTAAGTGTTCTGTATTCCGTGGTTAGATTTTGTTTTGGAAGAGTCAAGAATATAAGAAAAGCTTGTTGAACGAAGCCACTTTTACATCTAGGACAAGTTTGGTTGCCAATCCGGGTAAGGGAAGCTTATATGTTTAATTTATACTTGCATGTTGTGTAATCTGGATTGCATGTATTAAAAGCATGATGTTGGAGCTGTATGGATGACCACTGTTATGGAATATGATTTCTGATTTTGATTTATCTGTCATGAACGAGCACTGCTTGTATGTATTATATATGTTGTGGTGGTTTGAAATGTATGTTGATTTGATTATGTATGAACGGAGTATGGTTATTGTATAGTTGGAATGATTAAAATGTTGAGATCTGTATGATGATGATGTTTAAGGTGAATTAAATCTGGAATGAAAGTTATAAAGTTTATAAATTTGAAATCTGGAAAATTCTGCTAAGGTTGAGAAATCTGAAATTTAAAACACTTCCCTATGATAAAAGACGCTCGTCATCGTACGGTCTTATACCGTTCGGTTTTCCTGGAAAATAACTTAGAATGGAATTCTTTCATTTGGAAAGAACTCTGCTCGAGAACGAGCGTCCCCATTTGAATGTTTGAGCGTTCGGTTCAGCTCAACTGTATATAAATATTTGAAACTTTATAAATACGTAAAGTTCGGCCTTATGTCGAGCGTTCGTCTTTGATAGCGTTCGGCCTTATGTCGAGCGTTCGTCTTTGATAGCGTTCGGCCTTATGTCGAGCGTTCGTCTTTGATAGCGTTCGGCCTTATGTCGAACGTTCGTTCTTAATAGCGTTCGGCCTTATGTCGAACGTTCGTCTTAAACGGCGCACGGTATTTTACCAAGCGTTCGTCCGAAATAGCGCTCGGTCTTATAACGAGCGTCCGTTCTAAATCGCGCAAGGTCTCATATCAAGCGCTCGTACTAATTGAATAATTATTTGATAAAATAGCGTTCGTTCTAAAGTATTAGACATTCATTCTCCGTACGTCCGTTAAATCTCTGGTCTTAGTTCTCATTATGCAACCATCTTCAAATATGATTCTAAGTATTCTTGACACTCCATTGTGTATTAAATCTGGTTCATGTTTTTATCACAAATATTTTCTAAGTACCAGTACACTTCAAGTCGAGTCAGTTCATCTAACTGGCCAAATAGAAAATTACGTTTGTTGTATATTTCCCTGAGTATCCAGTAACTTTATTTGGACGTTCGTCCTACTTCTTCAATGGATTGAGCGTTCGTCATTTTTGACTCCTGAACCTAATGATGTAAAAGATGATGGAATATGATAAATTAAAGTGTGAACACTATGAGAACTGAATTTATGATGTTGGATTTTGGACGAGCGTTCCAGGGAGGAACGTCTCATATATATATATATTTATATATTGAATTGGTAAAGTATGACTATGGTTAGCTAATGCTGGCTTGGTCCATCCTGATATTCCGTGATGCTCATCTTCACGTAGAAGGGAGTAGTCATGTGTGGGAATGGCAGGAGGTCTTTCGTATCCCTCACTTAGCAGGGGCGAAGGATTAACCTCGAGTGGCAGCTGTTGAGGGTATCCCAGTTACTACATCACTCGGGTGCAAGGACGCCTGTAGCTACACGGTTCATACAGTCCGGACGGTCGTCTATTATATTTATAAATTACTATGATGAATTATGTTAAATTGTATGTTGTGCGTATGCATTGAAATGTTGAATGTGTATGTTGGATGTATGAATTAAATATTATAAGCTTACCCTTTCGTTTTCCTTGTGTTGTCAATTGTCCATGTACGTTCGTCCTGTCTTGCAATGATCATCCGTTGTGGATGTGAGCAGATGGTGGTGCGTCTCTTGAAGAAATACTGGAAGAAGAAAATTTGGAAGATGCAAATCTGGTTGAGGTGGAAGTCAATGCCGAGCCTTAGAGCGCTCGTTAGATTTGTGATGTAAATGGTAGAATGGTTGTACGTACGGTTAAATGTTTTGTAAAACCGTTCGTCCTGTTTATCTCTGAATTCTATTTTGAACGTACGTTCTTTTGTACTGATGCCGTTCGGCTTTTAAACGCTGAGTTTAATGCAAAGACTGTTTATGTTGCTGTTAATTGTAATTAATTCTGAATTATGGTAATTACTATATTTTGGGATGTTACATTAGTGGTATCAGAGCAGTTTTGTTCTATTTAAGGACACTGTAGGGTTATGAGTGCACTGTGATTTTGCTGTGTGCTTATTGAATGATAAATGAGTTATTATTGTTTTAACTCTTGGACATAACTAACGCTCGTTTGTTTTTCTCTGCATCCAGAGAACAAATGGCGCCTAGGCTACCTCCTCCTCCTCAACCGAACGAGTCTGATACGTCCAGCAACACTAGGTTGTTGGAAACCGTGGTTGAAAGGCTACATCAACAGAACACAACGTTACTGGAGCAGAACGCCACGTTGATGCAGCAAAACCAGGCTGCTATGCAAGGTTTGGAGGCTTCACGTGTCAATTCTGAAAACACGCAAAGACAATTGATGGAGATTCTTGCTGCCACCAGAGGTGCGCCTGGAGCATCCTCTTCAAACGTTGCCCAACCGAATGCTGAATGGAGTTTGGAGAGTTTCCTTCAGCATCACCCTGCCAAGTTCAGTGGAAAGTGTATTCCGGATGAGGCCGATCATTGGCTACA